ACACACACACAGACACAAACTGTGACTAACACGCACGCACATATACACACACACACCTGATCAAAATGTCCTCACAATGATGGACCAAAATTGGTCCTCATAACTATAGATAAAGGTGGTGGAGAGGGTGCTCCTGATTGTCCATGATGAATAACAGTTTGTTCAGCGTCCTCCTCTCCACCACCACTTCAAAAGAGTCCGGTTTGCAACCAATGACGGAGCCACTTCTGAATCAGCTTGTTCAGTCAGTTGGTGTCACCGGCTCCGATGCTGCTCCCTCAGCAGACCACAGCAAAGTACAGAACACTGGCTGCAACAGACTGACAGAAGTTTTCCAACATCTTGCTGCACACATTGAAAGATCTCAGCTTCCTCAGGAAATATTATGCTCATCTCTTTCTTGTACACAGCGTCAGTGTTGCTTTTCCACTTCAGTCCGTTGTTGATGTGGACGCCCAGGTACTTCCTCCAGTGACAATATCAAATACCTGTTGAAGAACAAATTGAGCTCATTTGGCCTCTCCAGGCTGCCTCCTGGCTGTCTGTCTTTTGCCTTGAACCCAGTTATTTCTCTAATTCTACTCCACACATCCCTCACATTGTTCTGCTGGAGTCTGGCCTCCAGCTTCTGCCTGAATGAGTCTTTGCACCCCCTCAGCTTTCCCCTCAAGTCATGTTGTATGATCCAAAGTTCTTCTCTGTCTCCAGACCTGAAGGCTGTCTTCTTCATGTTGAGAAGAACTTTCAGCTCAGTGGTGATCCAGGGCTTGTTGTTGGGAGAGCAGCATGCAGCCCAGGGCAGCATGGTGGTTTATTCACATAATTTTATGTATTCTGTTATGCAGTCCGACATGCTGTTGATGTCCTCCCCATGTGACCCATGGAGCACATCCCAGTCAGTGGACTCGAAAACAGTCCTGCAGTGCCTCAGTGGCCTCCTGAGTCCACCTCCTCACAGTTCTTGTATTTGGGTGTCAGCAATACCAGGTCTGATCTGCCAAGTGGGGGGAGGGCAGTGGCACTGTATGCATCCAGAGCATTTGCATACAGAAGGTCCAGTGTTTTACTGTCTCTTGTGGAGCAGTTAATATACTGATGAAATTAAGGTAAAGTTTTGTCCAGTGTGACATGATTGAAGTCACCACTGATGGCAATAAAAGCATTGGCATGTTGAGTTTGAAGCCTTGCAACAGTGGATTGGTGTCACATCAGCTGATGGAGGAATGTAAACAGTGACAGTGATGACTGCATAAACTCGCTCGGCAAATAACATGGGCGCATTCCTACTAGCAGTTCAATGTCTGGGCTACAGAGCTGCTTCTTCTGACTAATATGTCTCGGATTACATATTCCACTCAAATATAGTGCAATCCCTCCTCCCTTCTTCTTACTGCTCTGTAAAACGTCCCTGTCTGTAACCCCGGGTAACTCTGAGCTGTGGTCTGGGAAATCTGAGTGCAGCCATGTCTTGGTGATCACGGTATTCTGGGTCTTAATCATCTTGCTGAGATTGTCCATCTTATTCCCCAAAGACCTCATGTTCCCCTTGATGACCGCTGGAAATGAAGGTTTATGTTTCCTCCTCTTCAGTCTGCACATAGTTCCAGCTCTGCATCCCCGGTGTTTCCTCTGCAGCTCCTTGGGGATTTCTGGTCTCTCACCAGGCAGCAACACAGGTTTACTTAGAGCAATCAGCTGGTCACTTAATGCTCTCACTCTTCTCTGCATGGTTCTTCGTAACAAAGACTAACAAAGGAAAGCAGCAGAAAATCAAGGAAAAAAGTTGTAAACCAACACAGTGCCCCAAAGTCCCCAGGAAAAATATTTAGAAAGATTAAAGTGACAAAAAGATTATTTTTCCATGTGTCATCATGTTTAAATAAAAATGTATAAAATCACATCTGTTTACATTTGTTATAAAAGTTTCAGATTTAAAATGTTTCAACTGACTTCAGAGGACTGATCTCCGTCCGCAGGTCGGGGGTCAGGCAGTGTCCTGTCATCCAGGTGAGGTTGGCCTCTCATTCAGGACACCAGAGTGACTTGTCCAGCAGCAAATCAACTGTGGGGTCGACGAGGCAACATCCAGTGGCGTCTCCGACTCGTCGTCTGAGATTCGAAGATGAGACGGAGACAGAGGCAGAGTCTCGTTACCAAGAGAGACAGCAGCAGAGGAGATGGGCGGGGCAGCAGAGGACAGGTGTCTTGGTCTCCAGACTGAACCTGTACGTCAGTGGCCGGGCGGGGCCACCTGTACCTGATGACAGGGGGCGGAGCCTGTGTCCGCCCCATGTGAACCTGAGGACTGAGCCAATCAGAGAGACCTACATTGGCTCTGTCACACCTCAGAGCAAATCCCCCTGGGGAGGGGGCGGGGCTGAGCATGTCTGTAATGTGCAGATGAGGAGTAGAACCAGTCAGGGCACACCCACCACAGACCTACCAGTCAACCCTTATGCTCCTGACCAACTGAGCACACCTGCCTTCATATGTCCCTCCCCCGCCTCTCCTCCTCTTGTGAGTGTCAGGCTCAACTGTTCAGAGGAAGAACAGGATCTGATGCACGACCAGGATACGCGGGGGAGACCTGAGGGAGTCGAGCTCCACAAACAGGTCCGATCTGGGGTAGAGCTGAGAGACCGGAGTCCCTGTGTGGATGTGGAGGAGGGAGGAGGGATTCAAAGGATGAAGAACTCTTCCTCTTCCTCTTCTACTTCTTCTTTTGAGACAAGCTCAGATGCAACAGGTCAGAATATTTATATCTAAATCATAATACAGTATATATACTCAACTTATATAAAACTGGTCTGATAAAATCAGCTTACATGTAATCCTTTTATATATAATAAATGTTTACATATTATCCATTCATAAATAATATATATTCATCATTCATTAAATATGTGTACATATAATCAGTTTATATAAAAAATCTGTTGACATCTAGTTAGTTTACATATAATCAGTTTGAAAATAATTAGTTTATGTGAAATACATTTTCATATAATCAGTTTACAGAAAAAAAGTTCATTTAAGTTTATGTATATATATTCAGATTATATATAATCTTTATATATAATTAAACTCTTGCTTGTCACATACACATCCCAAGATAATCAAACCTAATCATATATCAGAGTTCATAGCCCTGTATTATCCCAACAGATCAATAATCTATATATTATATATCTATCATTTAATCATTTTACTATTGTCGAGATAAACACACAGTAACATCTAATCTTCTGATTGGATCACAGCTGAGAGCCCAGCTCCACCCATCCCAGAGAGCAGCAGTGATGGACAGGTCAACCACCCAATAAGAACAAAGCTCTACACTTCACGTCCTGAACAGTGAGTCTGTACGACGCCCCTAAAACCTCACATATCAACCTGTCACTGTGGAAACCACAGTGTAGCATCACTGAGGTCACGTTCAAAGCTGAGACCTCATCAAGAATCACGAACCAGTAAGACTGATGTCAGCCCAGTCCTCCAGATGACGTCAGGGAGCTGAGTACGCAGTAAATGGTCAGGGAACAGGAAGTAGGAAGGATCAAATCCCATCACAACCCTGTAGTATTCAACGTTTATTCAGGAGTTGTTCACATCTACAACTACAACAAGGCTCTTTACATAGAAGGTCAGGACCTTAAAATCTTATTAATATAGAGAAACCAAGAGTTCAACAATGAGCAGCACTTTGGGACTGTGGACTGTCTCCATTGTTAACAGTGAGAAACCTCTAGAACCAGACTCAGTGTGGAGACATCTGCCTCCACCAGTGGGTGAGCAGAGAAACATGGGGAGGAAGAGAGGGGGGGGAAAAGAGGTGAGAGAAGAGAGCGAGAGAGATAGTGGGGAGGGGGAGGAGGGAGAGAAAGAGAGGCAAGAGAGACTGGGAACACTAGAGTCCATAGACATGAAATTCTGCTCTATCATGTCCTTATGATGCCTCCTGGCATCACTCAGCAGCTTGTTGAGTTCCTTTTGAACTACTTTCACTCCTGCTCATTATATTTAAAATGTATCTTTTTCCTTTTGATGCAGTTCTTAACTCTCTTAGTCATATAAGGCTTATTGTTGAGGTACACTATAATGTCTTTTTTGGTAACCAGTGGCCACATCAATGTCCAGGTTAACAAATGTGTCCCAGTCTGTGCAGACAAATGATCCTTTGAGCGTTTCTATACTATCTCTATCCCATGCAGTCACTGTCTTGGTTTGTGGCTCATTCCCTTGAAGAACAGTATTATGGTCAGAATGGGATAGAGGGGGCTTTGGTTTTGCACTGTATGCATTTTTGATGTTTCCATAGATTTATCTAGAACATTGTTGTCCTGTGTACCGCATGTTACATATTGTTCAAATTCAGGTAGGGATAGTTCCAATTTGCAATTGTTAAAATCACCTAAAAATAAAATAGGTAAACATTGGAATTGCTGGTGAACATATTCTCTTCCTGATTGGTTCTGACAGTTCCACCACGTCGTCGCTCAGAGATAAGAAATCCCTTCTCTGACTTTTCACCATCACTGTTCCTCCGTCAGAGGAGTTTCTGTTACTAAGCAACCAACTACAGAGGAGACAATCTACTTCCTGGAGTTGAACGATCATGCGACATGTGTGTTTAGGTGTGTTAGTGTGGATGGAGACATAGTTATTCATATCTGTGTCTTTCAGATTCAGCAGCAGAGATGAACGCTCTCGACTCTCTCTGCGTCATCTTCTTTCCAGCGTCAGACTCAACAGGACTCGAACTGGCAGCCTGGATCGACACAGCATCAGGCCCCGTCCCTCAGCATTAGACCCCGCCCCCTCCAGTTTGCTGAGGAAATGTCCATCATCTCAGTCACAGAGTGAGGTGAGAAAATCATCAGTTATCAGGGATCCTTGTTCTTCTTCTTGTTCTTTGAACTTCATGTTTTATGTCTGTCCAGCAGGGGTCGCCCTTCTTCCAGTTAAGGAAGGTGTTGTCATTTCAGAATGTTGTCTCTGAGCAGAAGAAGAGAGATCGTTCTACTGACTATAGACCAGCTGCCGACACGTAACTCTCCTGTTTTACGATTCATTCTTCAGAGGCCATAACCACGAAGCCAGAAAAGTTGGTATCACTTTGGTAATTACAGAAGACCATCATGTCAACCAATTCAGCAAGTTTACTTCAACAGTTCAACTACTGACCAATCAGATGTAGATGAGTAAAAACTGAATTTACGCGCACATCACATGATGAGCAGGGGACACAGTTGAAGTAACTTCCTGGTCCAGGCCCCACAGAGACAACCAAACACGTTGGAGTAAGCCTGTAACAGCCAATCATAACTTCAGTTTCTTTCTCAGGTCAGCATCGTTTGAGCATCAAGGACGCCGGTCGTCCATGTTCATTACGCTCTGTCGGTCAAGTTCTTGATGTCGATTCTGATGGAATGTTTCTGTTTGAACTGAATCGACCAGAGACCCGACGTACGGATTCATCATCAGCAAAGGATAAGGATGCAGTAACTCGGGTACTTAAAATACTACAAACAATGTAGCAACAGCATAATAAGAATGAAAGTATAATAACGCTGTATTCATTCATGTATTTATTTTGTATTTTTAGGGACAGTGTACATTAATTAATATGAGCACAATGGTTCTTAATGTACAAGAGCTAGTCTCTTAGTCTCCAGAGTTAGTCCTTGGCAGATTGATGTTAAAAAGAAAATAAACAGAAAACATTATTACCTGTGTACTAACGTGTTCTGCAGGTGTTTACATGGATGACATGGTGGACACTGACTAATTGTAAGCCGGTCTCCTTTCGGTCAAAGACGAGACCTTGGAGGTGAACGCGGAGAAGGTTGCGTGTCTCAGTCTGGATCAGGTGACCCACCTGACCCGCACCATGAACCTATCTGCAACTGTTCGGGTCCTCCAACATATGAGGACAATTTTGAGGCAACAGCAGCGCCACCTACATTACTACAACTCAACTACAGCACCTAAACTAAGCTTCTTTACCAAAGCACAACTGTGGCAACGGGTCCAATCAGAACACACAGAGAAAAAACTGCACCCGATGATGTCATTCACAGTTTGTATTGATTAAGAATCTCTGAACAAAAAATCTAAACAAAACATTCTACTAACTTCAAAGAGCAAAAGAAGAAAGTTCAGCTTTAGTTTGTTATGTTTTAAAAC